GCAAATGGCAGCGCGACCGCGCAGCATCCATCAGCGGCCGCACTGCAGCGGGGCATTGTGGGAAACTCCTGGCCGGCCACGCCCGCCGCCACGCCCCGCCGGCCGCCGGCCAATGGCGGCCCCGCGGCCCCTGCCGGCACCTGCCCGGACCAGCACAGGTGCCCCGGAGCACCCAGCGCTGCCCTCGTCTCACAGCCGCGCTTGCTCGTCGGCCGATCGCTTCCAGTCTGCACGCCGGTGATCTCAATTTGGTGCGCTCAGAATCAAAGCACCCAGCGGCAAAGACGTCCACGGAGCCCCTTCGTAAAGTTAATTGTACTCCCATCTTGTTCCTTGCTTCTCCCTTTTCTTCATTAGGGGGCACTAAGGAAAACTTCAGAGAATAGCATCAGCATGTTTCAGCACAAGAGCCGACGGTGACAATAAGATTAAAAAGTGCAGAAAAGGTTGAGGTCTGTGACTATACAGAAATTACTGCAGGAATTATGCACAGACAGTTGTTTGTTTTCTGCATGCAAAAGTTCCCTGAGCTAATGCAATCCAAAATAGAAAGACATAAAATAAATAAATAAATAAAAACCCATGAACAAGTATGCTCTACAGAGAAAGCAGCGCTACAGGAAGAGATTTCAGAAACTCCTGTGCTCCCTAAGCAGCCTTGCCTCTTCTGTGTGAGCCCTGTTCCAATCAGGTTCATGACAGTCAACAGATTCCTTATACCTGATCCTCACTCCTTTCCAATACCATTTCCAAATTACTTTTAATTACTAGTGAAGCATGTAAAGCATAATATAGCAATGTAGAACCCTTGCTTACTAGAAGCAAAACTAAGGTTCTTATGCAGGACTGTAAAAGGAGGGTCTGAATCCTCCTCTGAGCTGTGTGCAGAGATCTACAAAGCAACATGGAGCTGCACTGGAACCATTGGTCCTTTTCCATTGAGATCTGAGACCTCAGCTGGAAAGTCTCTGGTTAACTTCCAGGGAAATCAGCAGTGAATGTTGCTTGTGAAAGCATTCACTCTAAGATCATGTGACAAATATTTTTTTTCAGAAACAAACTAAACCATCTTGGGGTGGATCTGTCAAAGAGCAGTTCAGAAGCAGCCCAAAAGTCAGCTTCAAGGATGGGGAGTGGCACCATACGTCCCTCTCTTATCAGTGCCATTTTTGAGGTTTTGCCATTGGTGAGAATCGTGTGGCCCGTTGCTATGAGAAGATGCCAATGACATGTGCTAAAAAACCTGTAACTGCAAATTAATTTTGCACTCAGAGAGCAGAACACTGTGCATCATCTCACAGCTTTATTCTCCCAGCCTTTGGCCCACATGAGCACAGCTCTGTGGCCTGTGCCCCAGCTAACGGCTCCACCTCCCCCAGAGCATCTGGAGCAAAGCCTAACAACTAATCAGGATTTCCTACCCCCTCTCCAGGGAACATCCATGCCACTGAGCCACCTCCTTCAGTACAAGCTCTCCTGTAGCTCCTGCTTGTCAATAACCCTTTTATCCACATGACCAAATTTACACTCTGCTCCGGGATTACCTATTTTTCCTCCAACTGCTGCAATTTGCATGACTCATTTGCAACATGAAAAACTAAACTGACTTCCTTTGCCTTTTCTCTGAATAAGAGCGATTATGAGAGAGTCTGAGGCTCGTGAAGGAAAGCCCTGCTACACTATTACACCCGTGGTGTAGCTGTCAGTCCCTGTGGGCACAGGAAGGCAGCAACAGCAGAAACTTTGTAGGAGTATCACGTTTGCTCCAAGGTGTGGCTGCAGACATACCACTGGGCCAGGAGGGAAAGGATGAGCACAAAAATAGATTTTTAGCAGGTTTTGCCAGTATCTGGGATTATCATGCTAACAAGAAATCCAAACTCCCAGGTCTGGGTTCTCATCTCTTCAATGCTGTCAGGTTAAATGGAGCACCTCACACCACTCCGTGGTGCCTCCCTCGAGAGCTCTCTTCCTGAGTGAGCTGACAAGGTTCAGCAGGTGAGGAGCTCTTTTTCCTGGGTGGAAATTTCTCACCATAATGCATGCCATGAATAGCAGGGTGGATGGTGGGAATGAGAGAGGAACTGCAGCGAAATGAGGGATTTCAGCCTTTTGGAGTAAAGCCAAGGGAAGGCTTATTCCATTACTCACATGCCTGTAAAATCCCATTTTGAACACTTCAATGTGCACAGACTGTGTGCACTGCAGTAAATTTTATTCTGAGCAGGAGGGATTGAAAATTCTTTTTCTAACAGAAAAGAGATTGATATATTAAAAAGGGGATTGGGGAAGAAAAGGATGAGACAACCTTACTTGTTCAGTGTGCCAGGCTAGCCAGTGAGAAGTCAGTCTACTTTAAATGCTCCATGTTCCTTAAATCTACACAAAATTCATCCCCAGGCTAGCCCCCAACATTCAACTTTCAGGAAAAAAAAATACAAAACATATAAAAATAAATTTATACACATAGACATGTGCATGAATGTATTTGCATCTCCTCCAATTGTAAATATATTTTTTAATGTTACATAAGTGGCCAGCTTCCCTTTCCAGATCCAATATTGATAGATTGGATCCACCCACAACAACATTCATTTTTGTTCAACATTTGAAGGTCTAGTAGAGCACTGCTCATCCATTGGGAAACTGAGGGATGTTGAGGTTCAGCAAGGAGGGACCCACCTCAGCTGAGTAGATCAAACACAGATTTTTACCAAAGAGGTTTAAAAAAGAGGGCTAACCAGACCCTAAGCATTTCTTTAGACAGAGAAAATGAAGACAATCAAACAGTCATGGACTTATTCTTGTCTTCCCTCAGCAGTACCACAGCAAAGATAGGGGCCAGAACTTAAAATTTCCTCCTTATAAGAAAAACACAAAATAGTAATTTCATAGCAATGTATAGAACTCATGCAACCACAGTGTAAGACTAATTCAATAATGAAAGTGTAACCATTTGAAGCCCACAAAGAGACAACACCAAGAAAATGAGAAATCAAATAAATCACTTTCACTTTTTTGAGGCACAAACTGGAGGGAGACAAGACACTCAAGTATTATTATTCATTAGAAAGGAAATATGCTTTTGTTTCCAATTGCTATCTCCTTTGGATCACCTTGCTTTGCTTAATCTCAGTGTGATTTACAGAGAGGAGGAAACAACCACTGGCTTTGCAGACCAGGAATGTGAAGCATGGAAAAAATAGGGCAAGCCAAAATCACCAGCATGCCACAAGCATGAGGCCCACATTTCTAAAAAAATCCTCCTAAAGCAAACAAATCAGGAAAGGGAGCATCAGGAATGAATCTTCCATTAAATACCTTCAAGGGGGAGAAGTCTGTGCTGTCGTAAAATAGGTACAAACAATAGCTACCAACACAAGGAGAACACTTTCTACCCAAACATGCCATGAGAGGCATCATGAGCTGCATTTGGACACCCTTCCTCCTGCCTTGCAACAGGAAAAAGGAGCATCAAAATCCAGCCTTGGATTCAAACAGTAAGATGCTTTTCCAAGAACAGCATGTCCTGGAGGCTGATAGGTAGGGAGGCTGACAGCTCATCACACAGCATTTCCCCATTGTGTGGGGGTTTCTTTTTCAGGCACAGACTCCCTGCAGCATCACCTGCTGTGTGATGCTCTAAGGGTTGCACAGAGATCTGGGGAGATTCTCAACTGATGGCTAATCACCAGCCTGTGTTTTGTTTGCTTGGAGGAACTGAGCTCAGCTAAAACTAAACTGAGGGTAACTTTCCAATTAGTCACAGTCTAATGATTTTCCTCTAAAAATGCTATATATGGCTTGATGCTGCAAACAAGTGCCCTGGATCAATAGTCCTGGCAAGGGATATTGCCTCTTTGGAAAGCAAGAGGCACACAGGGTAGATCCTTGGAGAAGAGCTTCTCTTTTTTCTTCCTTCACTGCCAATTTCTTTTGCAACTTTAACCTCTTTAGCCTCAAATCAAGGCATTTCTAAAAATCTGCATCAGCCAGAAATTTTGTGCAGGCCACGGTGTTCCAATCTCCATGGTATGCTGCCTTTCCCAAACTCTTAAGCAGCCTTCTTTAAAAGGCCTTGGAAAGGATGCACCAAAGCCATCTGTCTCGCTCCCACTTTCAGTTAAGCTGGAACTATTACTTCCATGGCTAGTATTTCCTGTGGAAGATAAATTCTTGGTTGGTGTTGTAGGGGTGCCTGGTGCCTCATATATGAGGTCTCCCTCCCAGTAGAAAACTGGCATAAAACAAATTACTGTACCATTTGTGATGCCAGCTCTGCACAGGGTTATTTTTAAACCTGCTTTACGTCATCCATTGTCAAGTTCCTTGAATGACCAGCAAAGCCACAGAGTCCCCAGACTGAAAGCAATCAGGCATTTTCTTTTCCATGTCTACTCAAAGAAGAGAAAGCTCCTGAATTATCTCAGGGGTGAGGCAGGCTAAGGAAAGAAGCCGAGGCCAGCAGAAGACCCAATCCCAAAAAGCCAAAGCAGAAAGTGCTCTTTTAAGAGTTCACTCCAGTTTAAAGAAGCCCAGTGCAAAGCTAGAGCAGGAAAAGGCCTTACCTTCCAGAGGGCTGTTTGGCCCACACAGATCAGCCCCAGCAAGCCCTGTCACTCCAGGTGACACAGCACCTCAGTGTCACTGGGCAGAAGCAATGCCCCCTCGGGTATCAGCCTTCCTGGATCCCACTTGTACAGAGAATTTACTGTTATGGGGCTGTAGCACTGTGTTGCACTGAGTGTCATTATCTCTGTTAATGCTGTTGGCCTCCACCTGATTTCAACCCATTCAGGGAGATAAAATTCTTTGCTAACCTCAAAAAGGGAAGGGACAGCCAGCTTCATTAAAACCCCACATCATTCCTTTTCTTTCACTAAATTACCAGGGTTCTGCCATGTTGAAGATGGACACATTGCACACACTGGCACACCTGGAAAAGTTGAGGGGCCAGATTTTTTCCAGTCATCAGGAAATCAAACAAGTAGCAACTGCTTTTTTCTACAGAAAATATTTATTTGCAAGAAAATGAAAAGCATAACATACTTCACTACATACATATTTAGGCTAAAAAAGCAGGTAGTCTGCTCTCTCATAGAATCAGGCAGATGATTTAAAAAGGAAAAACAGCAATTTCTTTCCACCCAATGGACATGCTTGCAGTGTGAACAATCAGGTGGGACCGTATCCAGATGACAGCACTTGTACAAAAATAGAAAGGTCACTGAACACAGACACAAAGTTAAATAGACATGGCAAGAGAATAGAGATATCTGCAGTCAGAAGAGGCCCCAATGAAGTTTACCAGGGAGTTGTTTTTTTGTTTGTTTTTTTTTTGGGGGGGGGAGGGTGCTTTTGCACTAGTATCACTGTCCCTGTCATCTTAGATAGGGGTTAAGTGTTTTCACAAACCTATACTGCATTCACATGAACAAAGGGAAAGACCAGCTTAAGTGCCCTAGCAGAATGACTGTTCTGCACTGCCCAAGGCAATGGAATTGGCCATGGATGCTTCTCTTCAAGAGAGCACCACCAGGTAATTTACCCTTGGAAGGCCTAGTGAATCTCAGGGAAACTGGGATGCACCTGCACCACCCTCTAGAAGAAACTGCTTCCCCTGGCTGGCATTTCACTGTGCCCATGGAGTGGTTAGGGCATTAGTGCTCCCAGGGACCACCTTTTAAGGTTAATTTACACCACTTAAAGAAAAAAAATTAAACAAAAGAATTCAAAACCATAATTCTGAAGACCAAAAATGATACCAGAATATAAAATAATTATTTTTTTGTACCAAGCCAGAACTGGTCTCTAGAAAGGTCAGACAGTTTATGCACACACACAAAATGACACAGTGCAACAACATTCAGTCGACAATTAATCACAAGACAGTCTTCAGAGCAATTCACACAACAGTTGCACAAGTGCTCAGTGATGTGGAATGTGAACAGGTTTCAGAGAGAAATGCCTGGACTTTCTGCTGCACCAAGCCCAAAGTGCCCTGTGTGTTCAGGTAGATGCCTTTATTTAGCAACACTTACTACATTAAGATACCTGCTTTGATTTTGATACCTGTTGATCACTCACCATGCACATGTGCACAGATGTACACACATGCACACTCATTCTCACCAACTGTACAAATGAAGAAAGCAAGATGCCTTTATATCAGCACCACTGAATTAAAGTCTGTTACGGTAAAGTCAGATATGAGCAGAGTTCTGTTTAAAAAAAAAAAATCAGTATCTGCCTCTGCTTCTCCCTCTCTCTCTTCCACTTCCTTCATTATGGACTACTAAGGTTCAGAAAGATTTTTACCTTAGAGGTTTAGAGGGTAAAGTGGGATATAACATAAAGGTCAGGTATGCATAAACAGGACTGCATAGCATTAAAGAGCAAGGGGAATAGGAGCAAACCTATACCTAGCAGGCAACTAATGAAACAGGCTATCACTGCTGATTCAGGCTATTACTGCTGATGTATGGAATCAACAACTAGAACGTTTCCCTGTGACGCAAGGAGTCCCTTCACCTGCCTTTTTTTTCACCCTTTCTGTAAGACAGTTCTACAAATCCAGCTTTTCCATGTTCTGGTCTCACCTCTTTAGTTGCAGCTCTTGGAGGAAGAATCTGGACATCAGTTGTAGGGCAGACCAGAGACTACTGCTAACAAAGAATATTGAAACTCCATTCAGCATCAGATCCAAGCAGCATCACTAATTAGTTTCCTGCATGATGCACTTTTTTTCTACACAGGAATTTGATTCATATATATATACACACCTCAGTAAAGCAGAAAAAGGTGTGACATAAAAATGAGAAAACTAAATTGCAATTTCCCTCTCAATCCTGAAGTCTCCAAGGGATGCGGATCACCTAAGCAATGCAGTATTAATCAGGATCAACCTTCAACAAATTATCTGAATGCCCAGTGTCACTTTATTGGCCGTGAGAAAGCTACAAGAGGGATTGAATCCTTACATTTTCTTTGTAAAGACCTTACTTAACACGTACATCAGTTCATTCCCCTGTGCAACCCCCAAAGTTGTTAAACCTTAATGCTAGACAGTGCAAAGCAGCAATACATCATAGTACTACACTCTTATATAGGCTGGGACAACTTTAGTAGCTACAAAGTACTGACCTATCATTTCACCTTCAGAATACAGAATGTTCCCTTTTTAATTAGTGACTCAAGAAAGAAATATTTTAGTCACCAGGAGTATAAAAATACTCTGTATTTCTCTGTTCTTAGCTGCGTGGGTTTTGAACAATGGCCTCTTGGCATTAGCTAGAATCTAGAGCCCAAATACTCAGTGGAAATCCCTCCCAACGTAGCAATTAGCATCATTCACTTACTTGACCTACATTCTAAAAGTGTCTAGACAGAACTCACAACTGATAGTTGGGAGGGATGGGAGTGGAGAGGTGGGCTGGTTTCTCTAGCAGGGAAAAAAAAGTTTTTAGATTAATTTTTAGTCTATGTTAGAAGAATCAAGAACACATCAAGATACACTGTTACACAGAGAGATGTGGAAGAAGAGGTCCCCTGTCAGTATAAATCAGACCTGCAGCCTCCAAGAACAGTGTGTGAGAACCACGCTGGTTGTATCAGCTGGGATCTGGCCTAAGAACCTCAGCCTAATCCATTGGTCTGCACTGCTGAAAAATATTGAGTGGTACAGATGAAAAGAAAGAAGTGCAGCAAAGAAAGCAAAGAACTATAAATATCCTGGGGAGGGGGGGGGAAGGCAACATTATCTACACACCGGTAATAAGGTTAGAAAGATCACATGCCCTGTAATTCAGACTTTAAAAATATACATATAGATAAAATAATGCCCTATATTCCTTCATAGCTTATCTCCCTAGAAGCAAAGACCCAACATATCTAAACATGCTTTAACACTACAGCCCAAAAGGTAAGTTTACTAGTGTGTATAAAATTGTGCTGGTGAGCAATGTAACCTTACAGCTGAGGACTCCTAGGGTTTATCACTTAAGTCCTCTACTGGAAATGGAAATTATGTAGCACAGAAGGCCTTTGCTTACCCTGTCCATACACACACACATATTATTCCACAGCACCAAGTCACTGATCACCAGAAAAAGCACACTGACAGAAGGTTAAGGCCTTAAGTTATAGAGCTGAACTAACTAAAAGCACTTACTGGCATCCTCCTTGAATAAGCCTTACTACTCCTGCCCTATGCCCTTACCTCAGAGCACAAAAGCTGCCTCTCCACGTGGTCTGCAGTGCATCAACATTCCCACGGGGTCACCCCTGGATGCTGAGGCTGGCAGTGCAATGGCACCTTGTCCGGCCCCTCCTGTCCCCTGCTAGGTACAGAACACGGGCACAAAGCCCCTCTGGAGATCCTGGGCCCTTGGCACACAACGGCCTGCGAGTAGGTGATGACAGGGGATTCCTTGGCCCCTGGCAGAGAAACCTGTTCTATTAAGGCCCCTGAAGAAAAATGATCACAAACACACCAAAGTGAAGAAAAGCTGTTCCTTATTATAAAGTAATATGTAATACAATAAATCCCCAAGCAATGTGTGTGCTAGGTCAAGAGATTCCCTAAAAAGGAGTACCTAAATATAATTTAAAGGATTACACAAACTAAGATTATAGCAATACATTATCAAACACTTACAAGAAATCAGTATGGCCATACTGGCTTGGGTGGATTAGTACAGAGGCCTGACCCAGACCATGGCCAGTTTAAAATGCTCAGGATGAAAACATGAGTGATTATCTTCCAACCAGATTTGAAACAATATGCCCAATTTAAACAAACAAAAGAAAAAAGGCAAAGTTTTAATTGTGGCCCGTGCAGTAGTTTCAGAGAGGAGGAGCTATTTTGGTTGTGCAAAATCATCTCTTTTTTAAGAGCTGAGAAATAATTCCACTTTGGTTTTCACACAGTGAAGTCAGCCAGCTGTATCTGAAATGGGAGGTGATCCATTTAGCTGGCAATGGGCAGGAGCTCAGGCTGCAAAGTGCAAACTGCAAGACTGGTAAGTGGTGTTGTGCTTCACACCCTTGGGCCTCTTTTGCAAAAAATTTAACCACTTGGTTGCCCCCAAAGGCAAGGGCAAAAAACCAAGGGTGCTCTGGAAAAATAAGACCATTTAAGAAATTTTCTAAACTATGACCTTGCCCACTTATGCTGACCAGCTGGGGTCAATCCCAGCTTTCTCCTGTCACTTTGCTGACCTCAAGTGGCTGAGCAATGCAGCCACCCCTTATGGCACTCAAAAGTGATCACTGTTTATGTGAAACTTTAAACCATTAAAAAAAAAAAAAAAACCACAATCACAAAAGTTGTCCATGGATACTGAAATGATTCAGAGAGCCCAGCAGGATCACTGTGAAGGGAGACAGACTTTATGGTGGAGGCTGACCCATGCCAAGATGGGAACACTTGCAGAACAGACTACAACAGCACTTCTCCTCTCATTGTCACCTCAGGTAAAACAATAAGGCACTTGGGTAGAAGAATAGGGCATCACCAAGAAGAGCATATCTGCACACCAGAATGAGCTCATGGAGTCAGGCACTTATTTCACTGTCACCGATGTGAAACACCCTCTTAAAATGGCACAGGGAAGACTGATCCACAGTCCTCTCCAATTCACCAAATCCCTTCCATTCACTTCACTGAATTTTGAGCCAGGCCTGAGGGTGGCAAAAAGGATGCTGAAGAAAGAAAGTCTAAGGAGAATGAAGAACAAGAAAGGAGCTGGTGCAACAGCTGCTGTAATAAAATACAAATTCAGTATTTTACAAAATAGATTAGTTGCAAGAAATATCTACTGTACATAGTAAAAAATTATTTGTAAGGCTACTTAGTTTTTCCCTTATTTACCATTAGGAAAAAAAAATAAAAGAAAAAAGATCTTCAAATTACTTTTTTTTTTTTTTTTAATTGACTTCTTCTGGTAAACTGTTAAGTAGCTATATTAGCCTGCTGAATTAGGATTTTCACATTAGATTCATCCTCGATGGAGCATGAGTGCCCTTCTGTAGGAACCAGATAAAACCCTGCTCAAATTCTGGACTGAGTTCAACTATGCCCCTGCAGGGACAAATTGCAAGAAGCACAGCTCAGGCAAAGGCATGACCGGGGTACTGAGAAAGAGAGAAAGAGAGAGAGAGAGAGAGAGAGAGAGAGAGAGAAAGAGGACACTTGAAGACAACAACACTGTGGGACAAGGAAACAAAGCATGGAGAAGAGTACTGGTCCAGGATCAGACCTGAATGCTGCTCTTGGCTTTCTCAATGAGCCTGGGCCAGTCACTTCACCTTCCCACGTGCTCATCTCATTCCTCTTTTGACAGGTCTCCTGCCTATGTAATCAGCTCCTCAGATCAGAGGCTGCCTTGGCATGCAGTTAGCACAGGATCCACCAGCTCTAGGCATGAGCTGGGCCTGTCTGTACCCAAAGCAGTTGGTCTCAGATCACATCTCTGGAAAAGCAGGTAAGAGGAAAAAGAGACACACGGCTTTATTTTAGGACAATTCAAGCTTAAGGGAAGGAAATGAGTATTCAGTGATGTTTGTCTGTCTAATTTCAGGGTCTACCCAGATCACTTGCAGAGTTAGAAAAGCTCAGTTCTCTCTGCAACTATCTGAACAGAATTTTTCAAAGCTAATAAATACTATTTACAAAAGTAACAGGAAGATGGCAAGGAAAAGAAAACACAAGACAATCTGAGACGGGGTCTACACAAGAATTTTCATCAACCAGCTAGAAGTCAATAAATTAAATCCATACAGTCCTCTCAGGAGGCACTTCTGGTTTAAGCCTTACATTGATGTAGTTTGTTGGGAAGGAACTGACTTAAACTAAATAGATTAGCCTTAAGCAGACTAAAAAGGGCATCCATCTAAAATATTGCATAAATGCAACAAAACCTGCTTTCTAAACAGATTTAGTTAAACTAGTGTAGTTCTCCCACACAGTGTGTGATAAGACAGTGACTGATCTTTGTTTAATTTCTCAAGGGTGGAAGCAGGGAAGCCTACTGGGACTGCTTTCAATGCACAGAGAAACCTACCCTGCTAAGTGATGAAGAGATTGGAGGGGAGAAGAGAAAGAGCATGAGGAGGACAATTCAGCAGCATCATGGAACAGCCCTCTCCTGCCTGTGCTGTGAACTCAGCAGTGTCAGGACCCTTTCTTGTCCCTTCAGCAGCAGGCTGCACATGTGCTTCTCTATCCCCCCAAAAGGCTCAAGTGCTGTAGACCAGTAAGCACAGAGCTGTGGTGAGACTCTAAGCACCATCATGCTGCATCTCCACTCTCTCTCAATTACCTTCTCCCACATGCTCCCATTGGTTTTGCACAATTCACCCTTCTCCAGAATGTTATTGTGCTCAGATCAGGCTGTGTGCATGTACAGGCACACACCCACCAGTCACTGGCACGCTGCTGGCATCATCTGCCATCATAATTCAGTCCTGCCCTTGCAGTGTTAGGCAGGAAAGGGATAAAAGCAGAGAAAGGGACTGTGTGCAACGTGAGGAAGGGAGTTACAAAGACAAGAGATCCCATCTGTAGTCACAGCCTCATCAGTCAATGCAGAAGTTGAACTCCCTCTCTTTTGTACTTTGGTTCACTGAGGATGACAAGTCAGGGGAACTTTGGCTGAAAATATGTGGGAAGGAGGGAAGTCAAGAAAAAAGGCCTTTTTTATTTTAAGAGGTGGCATTGACTCTTCTATCTATTTCAATTATCTTCAGTGTTTCATTTCCTTCTAGTTCGGAGTTGACTCTGTAGGGAACAAAAAAACAAAGATTAATGCTAATAGTAATTTTTTAAAGTACATATCCTGCTTGATCTGGCTAATGCTAAAGAGCCATTCAGTATTTACCAGGTAGGTATGTGTCAGTTAGCTGAGTCTGGTAACATACTGAATTAATACTGAAGTAGTCATCTCTTTGGTTCTAGGCAAGCAAAGTTGCAGCAGAAAGAAGCACACATATTTAAACCAGTGACTCTCTCTCTTTTCAGAGGCCTGCAAAACTTACATTTATGTTTTAAAAAAAGAAAACAAAAAAGAATCCCTTACATTTCTACTAAAAGTGAGGGAACTCAGTGTAGGAACTTAAGTAGTCAGATAATTTTACATGTCTGTCTCTTGAGACTGAGTCCTGCAAACTTTCCACAGTAATGCTTTAGTAAAATCACTGCTGTGAGAAACTCCAGCTCTTCATGCCCTAACCTCATTGAAATTCCACTGAATCACAACCTCACACTTCCATACAACTGCCAAAAGCTTATTCCTTTGGGAAGCACACAAGTAAGTACTTTAAAGAAGTGGGTAGGCCCAACTAACAGGATTACAGGGGTTAGGTTTCTGGCAGAAGTACCGAGTTTGGCAGTTGTGTTACTACAGTTGTGTTGCAGCCACTTCTCCAGAGCAACAGTGACTTTGCCTATAGGCTCTCCAGATAAAAGCCAAACCCTTACTTCATGCTTCATGGTGCCCAGCATAGTTGAGCTGCTAGTCTAACCTCTGGCCTTCATGCATGAACAAGAGTGACACAGAAGACCCATGTGACAAACAGCCTACCCTGCACTCACCTGTGCTGCTGCAGGCCCAGCAGCACTGATTTCTCTAGCCTTGTCTCGTTGGCTATTGTGAACTGCATGATATCATCCTGCTGTGTCCCTGACACAGCCTCCAGGGACAGTGCTGTGAACTTGGAGGTGTCTGTTTGCCTGTCACTGTGATCTGCGAAGGAGATCGGGCTTGGTGCCTCCTCCAGTTGTTGAGGCTCTTCATAAATTAGTAGACTCCTCGACCTCACTGCATACAAAGACAGAAGGCAAAATGAGATGAGCAACAGACAGCTCAGAGAACAGCCCTGGTCATTTTAGGAAATGGAAACTGTTAGGGCAGAGCCAAAACTGCAAAGGCCTTTCCTTTCATAGTGATTAACTGGCTATTTAATTGCTAAAGAAAGAAACCACAGGTCCAGGTCCAGGTCCAGGTCGGGGTCAAAAAGCCCTAAATTACTCACAAAACAAGAACAAAATTAAATAATAACTTTGCTAATATATTGATTCATTATGGTTATGCAATACTAACTCCCATTCCATCCTTGGACTCTTTGGTGACACTGGCAAACAAAAAAGCCACTGAAATAATTAGTGCATTTTAACAGTATTAATATTTGCTACTTAGTAGAAGCCCTGCTACCTTTGACAGACCACTAACTTTAGTTCCACAAACAGAGGCAAAAAATTCTTTAAACAGAAGTACCAAGCAGGCTAGTGAGAAAAAGTTTTGCTCATTTTTATGAAGTCTGCTGCCATCAGTGTAGTTTGCCAAGCTATCCTTCTCAGAAAAACACAGGTATATATAAAAAAACGGCCATTTAAGGAACAGAAATGCAAGAGGTGCTTGAGAAGGGGGTTAGGAATGGGTGTGGAAAACAAGTGCTTAAGTACAACCAAGCAAGGAGCAAGACTGGAATAGCTGTCACTTACCAATGGAATCTGTGTAGGACTCCGGTGAGGAATGCTGCCTGGGCAACACCATCTTTGTAGCAGAAGGATATGGCCCATAGCTCTGAGAGAAGCTGCCAAAAACTACTGCAAAGCACAGCACCACCATCTGGCAAAGGGAAGATGGAGGAGAGGTGAGTGCACTTGACCCACATGCGCACATGAGAACTGATACTTTATCAAAATAAATCACTTGAGGCCATCCTCACCACTGCACACCTAGCAGAGGCACCTAAACAATTACAATTCAGTTCTTTAAAGGGCACATTTCAGTGCTGGGGTTCATTTTCAATGCCTGCACCATTCTGACCAGCAGCCTTTTTTACTCACAAAGCTGAAATGCAGATAAAGCTGCCATGTGTGTTTTACAGGCACTGCTGAGGATTTCCAAAGTTATTTCTGCTGCTGGCCCCAGTCTTGCTTCCAAGTGACAGTGGAGCTAGATTGGGAGAACAGCTTACGCCTTGTAAATTATTTCCATCAATTTACAGCACTTTAGGTATAAAGGGAACTTGACAGCTGAGTGTAAGGAGGGAAAAGCAAATGTTTCATTCTACTAATTTTCTTATCTTGACTACTACTACTGAAATAGGACAGAGGTATATTTACAGCCTTAGTCATATTTTGATTTGGTTAAGCAAGTTTATTTTTATTGGTATCAAAAGCATTGAGCCTCAAAGGTCACCCTCATTTTCATTTTACAACCCTAGACACCATTTCCACCATATAATACTGCAGGAAATAAGAAAGTGGGTCCCTTGGAAGAGCATTACTCCTTCTTTCATCACTGCAGCACCCAAGCAAAAGCACAGGCCCAGTCTCCTCCAGAACTCACTACCTTCCCACAATCATTAATCTTCACCAGTCACAAGTCTCACCTCTCTCAAAATTGTCAAATCATGAAAAGGAGTTCCCTAAGCTGCAAAATTGCCACTGAGAGGCTTTGCAGAACAAGAAATGTGCCTTGAAAGAGCTTCTCATTCCCTCAGAATTCCCAGCTTTAGGGACACTCACCATAAGACAGGTCCCTGTTTGTGTGCTAGCTGCCTTACATGAGCGGGACACTTTGCCAGCAACCACGGCCTGGAGTCTCTGCAACTGCTGCAGAAGTGTTCTGGAAAGCAAAGACAACAGACAAGATCACACACACTGACCTGCTTGTTGGCTAAATAGATTTTTGTTTCAAATTCCACACATGGCAATAATACAGCATTTAGGATAAGGTAGAGATAGTTAAAGTCTTCTCCTTAAAATTACTAGCAAGGAATGGTTTTAATTTTACAAAGTTTTTACATGTATTAGCACTGAAATGTTCAAGATTTTTTGCTTTTCCCTCAGCCTATGTCCCTGAACAATTACTTCTCTAATACTTCCAGTAAGTTGTGATAAATAAAAATTGTATTTTCAGTGTTTCTATACAAAATGGCACATTAACAACTGAAACTGCTCTGCATGCAAGTGACCAGTTGCATATATAACCTGACTCTGTGTCATGAATTCAGCAAGAGTTTTGCCATTATTTTTAAAGATGCAAAATCAACTTTATAACTGCTCAGTTAGTAATCAAAATCTTCAACTGCTCTAGTTTGGTTATCAAAACCCCTTTTTCCCAAAATATTGCTATTTATTTGTTTAGAACACATGCTAGCTGACTTTTAAAGACAAGAACTTAAAACCACACATAGGCACAGTCTTCACTTCTCACATTCATTTATTAAATAAAACACTTTAAATATTTGTTATTTGCTATTTGTTAAATCCTGAAGAGTTGACAAAAATTGCAGATGCTTCAAGTGGCTACTCTGATTGTGTCTTTCAGAGGTTCCAACCACAATGACAATTCTCTTGTGGCTGGATTCAACAGGCCCAGAACAAAAGAGCCTTTCTGACTGTTTGGGATTGTTTTTTGTGGTTTGGTTTTTTTTTTTGTTGGGTTTTTTTGTGGTTTTTTTTTTTTACTTCTGCTGTAGCATCAATTACTACAGTGAGAATACAAACAATTTAAATGGGAATTATCTCAAATTATGACTAGTACAAGATTTTCACAGCAGTTTTTTTTTAACAATCTATGAGCAACCCAAATACCAGTCCTCAACACAAATATAGTATAATTTTGCATCAAGATGTTAAATTTTCTATTTGTTCCCAAGTTTACTTTTCACTTCTCCTGTAAGTTTCACAATCTACTGTGGAGGATACCCCACAGAAACTCCAGATTACAGTTTTGGAGGCTGTTACGTCAAAAGCTAAAGCAAGAGGCAAGGTCAGGATGTCAGAGAAAATAGAAGGAGTATTTTAAGACCAAAATGGCTAAAAGCTAATTGTAGGACAGACCCAGAGGTGCCTTCGCAGCTCAATATACACTGGTCTGCCTATTTTAATAGATTTTTTTAATCATCAATGCTCATTGCTAATTAGGGTTTAATGAATTCAAGGACTTCAGGAATACATTCTGAAATGAGCACAAGGCATTCTCACAGCACAGATTTATCTGGGCCAGCAGATCCTTCTCAACTTGTTAAGAAAGGATATCTTGAATGCTCTTGAGAACATGGCTTACTCTGCAACTCAGTATTTAAAAAAGAGAGTGATATGTCCAATGCAATCCTTTATTCAGTAATCAGGCAAATTAAGAGATACAAACAGTGTCCACCACCTAAATGAGACCATCCTAATTCCCTGCTCCCTTTATCATCTCTTCCCAGTTCCCCTGGCATCCACTGCATGGTACAGTTTTCACCACCAGACCTGTGCCCATTATTTCCTTGCCCACAGCATTCCCACCACGTGCCACCAGCTGTGTCAGATGGCAATGCCCTTTCAACTCTGAACTTTCTGTGCTATTTTGGAAGGCTAAATCTTTCCCCCATTTCAGGCCTGACTCACTGGGCTCAGTGCAGAAATAGCTCTGCAGACTGAGGAGGAAGGAGCTCTTCTCCTCCTCAGCTCGGGGGCTGGCAGCAGCAGCAGCCTTGAAATGCTGATCATTCTTGCCACTTTTTGTGGAGGCGTCAGTGAGGAAACAGCTAATGGCTGGTGAGGAAATCAACAGAGAAGAGGCAATTCTCCTCAGTTTGTTCATCTCTGCCTTTTCATGCTCAATTTTAAAAACCTGTTGAGCAGAATGGGCCCAGAGAGCTGATTACAAAACAGTCTCTTTGGGAAGTGTAATTAGGCAGGTATTCTGAGGTCTCCTAGAGACAGAGGAAGATTCATCCTCCACCTTATTTACCAAATACCTTCACATAAAATGTCTTTCTTCCCCAAGCTGTTTATCTGTTTGAGCAGAGCTACTGTTTCCTTCTCAACAGACAAGGACTCAGTGTCTGGAGCTGACAGGATACAGGTGCATTTGCAACCTGTGAGCAAGAACTGAGGCAAGAACAAAATACAAGTTTGATCAGAGATGACATCAATTTATCCTGCCACTGCCAAAATGGGACACTCCTTGGTGCATTTATTCTCTGTTTGAATCTGGAATGGTGGAAGACTGGATTATGAAGTCAAAAGATTCCCATACAAAAGCTTGTGAGTGGACAGCTGCATGGGTGATCTGGACTGGGAGAAGCAGAAGGAGCACAAAAGGGCCTTCCCTAAACTACGATGTTCCCTCTAAGTACCAGTAGAAAGGCCACAAATGCTTTTAGTGGAATACACTGCCTAAGGCTAAGTCCTAACAGGAGAAAATGCACTCCCAAAACAGCATGCTAAGGGGGTTTGCACCCACAGGGATTATTTTCACTGCGTCTGACACATCTCCCAGGGATATTCAATAAGAGGGTCAATTCCGTAGGAGGTGTGAGTGCGCTTTCACGCTTTTCCCTGCCAATGGAAGCACCTCACAGGAAAGCTGTAAAGTGACCGAAGACTCCTGCACTTCCTTACACATGCTGCCAGCAAACTTGGTCTGTCTGTCTTGGGCAAATATACACATATATTCATCTTCAGAAGAGACCTTTTCACTACCAAAGTAAGGGCCAAATCAAGCCTTCCCTTCTGCTTCCAGTGACACTTTAATTAAGGATAGAAAACTTGGCACTACAGAACCACCTGGGAGACTTCCTCAAATCAGTATTTCTGTTTAAAATCCAACATTGATTCAAACAAACAAAAAAACAACCGAACAAGACATCTTCTAAGGGACATCAAATACTTTATTTTCAAAAGTTTTTAGAGGATTATTCCTATTGTGGAGGAACAAAACCCAATTCTGATAAGGAGAGAGAAAAGTTATTCTGTCTTTTAACTCTACACAGATTCCTTCTCTACCTGTCCCATTTGTAGGAAAGGGAACAAATCCCAAAGTAAGGTTTTAACTAGAAGACCACTTAAATCCACTACCTTCCCTCATTTCAATTACAAAGAAAATCTCCACCAATATTTTCATAAAAGATGTTTCAGCATAAAAACCAATGTCCTCTGAAAGGAAGAAGTTACTCCAGGGCTGCCAAGCTTTGTCAACTATTGTAAGGGTGGCCTGAAATTAGCTGCACAATATCTAATTGCAACTTAAACCTAGATCCTTTACTCCTTGAAAATTATTTGCTGAAATGACTTTATCAGTCTCAAATGAAAAAACAAACAATATATCAGTGAAATCTGGCATTTTTGGTGCCAATAAACCCTTGGTGGGTCAGACTGATGTGCAACTTGATCTTTAGGTGGCTGGGAATTGAAGAAATGGAAGAACATCCTATTTTTATTTACAAAGCATTGTCTTTAAGGTGCTTGTTAGTGCAGATCTACACAGCTGGCTACTGCTACTCCATGGGAACAACTCTGGCAGCCACCTGCATTCATTGTCCATGTGTGACACTCTCAGCCACACATGCACTGGATCCTATGTCTATCATTTCTCCAGGAAAAGAAATCATCAAGATACTTACAAATACAGACTCAACAAAAGTGAGAAGCAAAAGCACTTCTCAACACGTTATACCCAGAACCAGATGTTTCAAAATTGTCTTTAAGCTCAAACAGGGTTCCCAGGTAGACCACACTGGTGTCAGAGAATGTTTGCAACCCTTTGGATCACTGGCAGTTTCTGCCTTTGGTCTCAGTGCCAAAATGGGAGTGTGACAAGCCTTCTTGGTGACTGGGACAACTTAGTTCAATACCCAGCACCAGCTTCTTCTCACGCCCTTGCTTTCTGAGAGAGCAGTGTCCCACATGCTTAGATGCTACTAAAACCAATGGCTCACTTGTGGCTACAAGACAAAAGAGATAAACGTGTAATAATGTGCTTCCTTAGTTTTGAGAAAACTGCCCAGGAAGGAACTTGGATGGGTTTCTTTTAAGGGTCTGAGTCACACAAATTCGGAGAGGTAACATATGCTACTGTTCTAATACTAAAGCTGACAAAAATGCTGCACTCACCCACTCAAGAGTAATGAGAATTAAAAACTCCAGCATCTTGATCCCCAGCCTCCTGCCTTGTCTTTTAAGATGTGTGAATGCCAAGGGAGATGCTCCTGGATGCAATTTTTTTCGACCACACCTGCACCTTTGACATTACATCTTTTCAAATCCAGATTTTCAGGCTAAGGCTGGCTTTCAAGGAAGAATCTTCTAAATTTTTTCATGTTACTGAGAGTAATGAAGGAACACTTTTATCAGAAAAAAAATTTAGTGTTTCCATGGTTTGGAGTCAGATTTTGAAATGCAAGCAGGGTTTCCCTGAAGTCTTAGGTGTGTATCTATGCAAATGTTTTCTATATATAGATTAACATACTCTTAAAATCTGATTGCACATACTGAAACTGCTATTCAATAGCTGTATGTTTTGGAAATAGCTCTTCAGTGCCTCTCAATCCAGCTAGACTACACAAACATGATAGTGACTGACAGCAATACACATTCATTAACTTTCAGGTAAGCAACTATAGCCCAACTTTTCAACAAGGTAAAAATCCAACTTTGTCTACATCTACACTTGAAAGCGTCATTTTAACATGTAAACATAGCTCTTACTTTCCCGTTATCTTTCTTCCATTCTTACCATCTCTAACAATAGGAGTACAGCTTTGATGTTTGTAGATCTAATTTTAGATAATATGTTCAATAATGTCTTCATTTTTTTACTGAAAAAAATACTCAAAGTTACAACTAAAGTCAACTAGGCTCTGCTTTGGCCATATTAAATATGATACATGTATGCCTAACTGTGCTAGGTGCTTTGAGAAATAAAGCCCTAAACGTATAAAATCAGGCATCTGATGCACCAAACTGATACTAAATAACTTTGACCACAACTGCTCTGAATTTAGATTGCTGACTGTCTGTAGGAGATGAAAGTTCCAGCTATAGGATGCTGTGAAGACAAGTTCTGAAACATGTGAACAGTTTCCGGATGCCATGCCAAGGCTCTGTGCAAATACCAATGAGGAAATGAGACATTTTGAATTCATTTTAGGATGGGGATAATGTTCATTAAACCAGGGCCTGGAACCATTCTCTGAATGAGACAGTTGTACAGTTCTACAATAAACAGGAAAAGTGGCTTTTTGTAGTTAAGGTGAAAAACCCTATAATGTGATATGTTACAAAACTGAGGTTTGATGAAAGCAGGCACTTTAACAAATTCCTCAGTACTTAACACATAAGCCTTAGCAGATTTTAGACACAGTTGATATCTAAATAGCCAAAACAGCATTGCCATGAGTTACAAGAATTTCTGTGCAGAAGGATGAACATCTGCTTCTCTGCATGAGATTGCACATCAATATCAATGCCATTGCAGAGGGAAGGAAACAACACAACCCATCCCACATGGCCAAAGTATGAAGGATTTGGAGATCATCCCACTTACCTAAAACTTTTTAGAGCATTTAGCATGAAAGAATTAAGATAATCAAATAACAGATAAGATGCTAAAGGTCCTTTATGAAAGAATATCCAACAAAGCTTGAGTGCATCCTCAACAGATCAGAAATCTGGAAAACAGCTGGCTAAATTTATCTTAACTGAGAAGAACAACTCCAGGGTTGATAACATCTTGTCCCCAAGTAGATAATCTATAGCTGCACCTTTTGTTAAGAGAAGCTGGCTTCAGTACCTTCTGGGACAAATTCTGTGTGAGACATCTCTACTCCACACCTACAGAATAGTTCCTGATTCTTTTATGTCAAACCCTGGAGGACGATGTAAGAGGCACAGAAATGGCTTGGCTCTCCTCAAGCAAGCAGCAGATGTCTTTATGCATGAGTAGTGTGTGGGAGACACTCTCCAGCAAGTCACAGTGCTACAGGGTCTGGCTTCATGAAATTAAGAGACTGGATCCAGAGATTAGAAACAACACATGCCACTCAATTAGCAATGCACTGGCTGCCAGATGAGCTCTAGGGCCATTTTCCATGATCGTGGGTCTTATCTTCAAAACCCAGCCTCCCCCCACACTTCAGTGTCACCATCATGTTCCTTGGTAATATTCAGCCATCACTGCAAATGCCTCTAACTGGGAAGTGTTAAGGGTGGGCTCATCTAGTACCTACTCACTGGAATTTGCCACACTGAGCATAAGCCAGGATTGACACTGCACTCTCTCAGCTAACATTAAATTAAAAGCTTAGCTATTCAACATCTTCTGCCACGTGTCCTTTGAAAAAGCCACCACTGAGTCACTCATTTTTTCAGAAATGAAAAAGCAAGAAGGTGATTTTCCCCTCCAAATGAAGGAAATTCTGGGGTGTGAGATAGCTACAAGTGTGCACAGTGATTGCAATGACATCTAGTAGTGCATAAGGAAATAATGACTCCTGAGTTTCAGCACTGTTATTTCTGAAAGTGTCACATCTCAAGTTAAGGCTTCCTGGTAAAATTTCAGTAAATAAAGACAATTGGGACGGCTAGTTTTTTGTTTTGCTTTACTAATTACATTCCTTTGGGCAGCAGAGGAACTCAGACAAGAGTGCTAAAAGGTTTCTCAAGCACACCACAGGCCGGGGAGGCAGTTTAAGACATGCCATCAAAACCTCCATACTTTACATCCCACTGCAGTCACAATAACTGGCTTTACACATCTTTCTCTAACATGAACCCCATCAGACACAGCTATTGTTGACATTTCAGCTGATCTCTTAACCTTCAGATTTTCACTTTTCATGGTAATATCCTGCTTCCAAGTTTTGTTTGATGATCTCCATACCTTACCTGTTAGTGTTCTCTAGGACTTCAACCTTCTTACGCAGCTCACTGTTTTCATTTGAGCAGGTCTCAACTCTGGAGACAGTACAATGAAAGAGAAATATAAAAACATCAGTTATTTATTCAAGTGATTATAAAACAAGCCAAACTTGCTTTCACTGAGAGCTCTATGATATTGCCTACATTTAAAGAAACAATTACACCAATGAACTTCAGTCACAATATTTAATCACATTTCATAGTGTGAAACACAAAGCAAAAGTTGCATTAGCTATCTGGGAAATGCCATGCATCTGAAATCAGAGCCTCAAATTTTGAGTCTATGAGGGCTAGTAAGCCATGAGATTAAAGACAGTGCTCAAGACTGTCCCAAGATACTACCCATTTCCAAACTGTCTCTGGAAATCCTCAAACTAAAGGACATTGTCATATAACATGTAAGAGGTCCAAGTAAAATATGTGACTCCTAAGAAAACAAACAGAACCATCCTGAATAGCTTCAAGAAGCAAAAAGGGAAAAGAAAATATCCATGATATCTGGTATGCATGAAGTGGAATTTCAGAAGAGGAACTCTGAGGAAGTGAGACAGAGCTATAAAGAGACAAGAAAAAAAAATGGAAATTACATCAAGGATATCACTAAAGATGGTACAAGGGTTTTAACAGAACCATCTGGTGAATTGCATAAGAGTAATACTAGAATATTCATCTCCTGGAAGAAAGATTAATTTGGGATATAAATCACTAACTGGGGGTTTGGCTCCTGCCTGCTAAGGGAAGTCGATGGGTCACATGCTATTTTCCCAAGTCCTGCTTATTTTCCCAGGCAGACCTGACTGATTCACCCACTTCCTATTTCTGTTTTCATCTGCACTAGAAGACAGAGTTTACTCACTCTGGATCGATCTTTCCCTGAACACTGCCTGTCCACTAGGCCAACATGGTTGCCTGAGGTGAAGGCCAATACAGCTGGGTCTTGTCTAATTTAAGGTGTGAAGTGTTTGCTGGCACATTAGGGACCAGCTGCAGGCAGGCACAGTCCTGACACCAACAAGCAGCTGCCAGGAACACGGCCTTTTCTCAGTCACTGCCACGAGATGGCAGCTGGCACTCTATGCATGGAACTGTCCCAGCAGCCACAGCTGGATCCCTTCCCAGTCCCACAACTGGTGCTATTGGCCTGCTTGAAACAGGAAGGAGGCTGGCTTACTTTTTTTCCAGGCTGTCCATGTATTCTTTCTTTTTTCTTCTACTTTCCTGGGCAGAGATCTAAGGAAAAAGGATGAAAAACACCAAATATTTGCACAAAAAACAAAAGCATCAGAGACAAATTAATAAACTGGTAAAAAGCCCCAATGTTATTGGTTTCAAGATTCTGTCTTATTCTCATATCTAATCCTGGCAAGCAAAGCACTGGCTTGATCTATCTCCACATTCTGAAGCAAGGCTCCTCCTTTCACTCACACAAAAAGAGATCATCCCCTGCTAACCTTAAAAAGTAAATCAGATTCATCTGGATAGAATATCCCAGGACAAATACCAAAAGATGATCCCAGGACGATGTCATGCATCCAGGAGAGAAAAAGCCCATGAATGTATTAGAAAGCTGCTTTGCAGACAAGGACATGGGTCCTGATGAACAAGTCAAACAACTATCAGCAGTAGTGTGCCCCTGTTGGAAAAGCAGCCAACCAAACATAGGTCTGCATCAAGGAGATTGTAGTTAGCAGGCCCAGAGGAGTGGTTCTTCCCCCTCTGTTCACTGGCTGCAAAACCACAGCTGAGTACAGCAGTGCAGTCCATGGCTCAGAAACAAATCCTCTGCATGTACAGAAGCAGGCCCAGAGGCAGAGCTCTGCCATAGTAAACATGCCAGAGCACAGGATTTCAGGAAAGGAAGAAAAAGATGGGCTTGTTCAGATTGAAGAAGAGAAGGCTAAGAAGGGAATCTGATTTATTGCTGTCTTTAAATATCTCAGCAAACATGATGTCAGAGCTCTCAAAGGCACACAGCAAAATGGCAAGAGGCATCAAATACAAGTTGCAGCAAAGGAAATTCCAATCACACATTAGGGATTCTATTTATTTGTTTTTACTACAAGAGTGGCCTAATATGGGAACATGGTGCCCAGAGACACAGGGGACTCATCACCCTTTGCAGCAGTAAAACGTTGACTGGACAAGACCCTGAGCAATCTCCTCTAATCTGACCCTGCTTTCCAAGCCAGGGCTTTGACCAAAGGACCTCCAGATTTCTCTTCAATATGTATTACTCTGCTTCTATGTCAGTGGCACATAAAATGCACTAGATCACTTCAGACAATTTAAAAAAAAAACCAGTACAAAATTCCAATTTAGTGTGACCAAATTTAAACTTCGATCTGCAAAAGCAGTAGCAGAATATAGTAACCATGAAATATGTGCTAAAATCCTCTAGAACAAGTGAACTGGCCAGGACTGAAAAAAACTGAATTCTTCCCTGTCACTAGGATCATCCCCATGCCAGAAGGAAAAAAAAAAACAAACTTGTAGGGCATTTGGTATCCTTGATATCAACTTTACAGGTCCCTGAATTCAGTGATCAAAAGACTAGTGCACTGAAATACAGAGTCATATTTTAAAACAGGGAACAGAAAAGAACACCATGCGAAGAATACAGAGCTCTTTGCCTGCTGTAAGGGTAGGATTGTACTGATTTTTAAATGGAGACAAGCCACAGCAACTTGATACCCTGCCTGCTAAATACTCCATTGTTAGTGGGGTCAGGTAAATACCTACACTGAGGCACACTCACACTGACAGAAAATTTGATGGATGTGTTTAGGAACAAAGAAAAGCACTTTGTTAAAAGACAACTTAGAGCATCCAACAGTACCACGGACCATTACTGCAGAATTCTGCAGCAATTTTTTCAATGAAGGACAACTAAGAACCACCCAGCAAAGCTAACTAACATTTACCTTGTTTTTTATTTTCCTGCGGATTTTCTTTAGAACTTTCTCCTCTGCTTTTGTCAGGGGCAGTTTGGTAGGGATTGGGTAGCCCTCTGCTATCAGCGTCCTCTTCTCTTCCTCTGTCAGGATGAGGGGGCCAGTCCCCTGTAATTTCTTCAAGGGTCATAGAAATGAAATGAAATAAAATCAAACAGTAAGTGCACACAGTCCTAGAAGAAAAGGTTGTTAGGGAGGAGGCAGCAGGTCTCCCACTTCAGACAGGACTAGGCCTACTGGAACAGCCTCCTGCAATTGGGAATGTGTGGAAGACCTTTCAAGTAACTTCCATTCAAGTTCAAATCTTTGGGACAGGATTCTCTGTTGTTCTTGGCCCAGCTCTGTCCACACTGGGGTAACAGTATAACTGCCTTTGGCTCAAACAGGGGAAGAGACATACGAGAAACACTAATGAAAATCCCTCCCTAAAGATCACCAGCTGTTAATAACATGACAAGAGGACAGATGCAGATTTACCAGAGACAGGTCAACCCAGCAGGGCTGGGCCCTAAGGCAAAACACAGTCCATGACGGGATAAACCTAATAACACCAGTGAACCCTGTCTCAGTTTAAAGGAGAGGCACATGCTGTTCCCTGTGGGAACAGAACAGACCAGTGAGCAAGAATTACTGGATCTGCAGTTTTGACCAGAGATGAATTCATCGAAACAACAACAGAAAGTTAGCAAATCTCTGTCAAAACCAGTAATTTAAAAAGTAAAAAAAAAAAAAAGAGACACAGATAAATGGTGGAGAAAGAGAGCTCAACTCACATGTGGTGCAGTCAGGAGAGGGGAATTGGAGAGCATTGAAGCTGTTCGCGACGCAGCCTTCGCCGTGGCCTGGAGCTGGATTGGGCTGGAAGGAGGGAGTGAACGAGCTGGGCTCTGCCCTCCTTCAGAGTCACTGCCATGGCTGCTCGGAGGGGTGGGAGGCAAATGCAGGGGATCCACTGCTGAATGGCCACAGAGACAGAAAGTTACACAAGGGTTTAAGGGGTCGATTCAAATTGCCACTAAAACCACCACCGCCATACAGTTTCCAGGACTAGGAGCATCTGCTAAAAAATGGAGCAAGCAGAAATGGCAAACTGCAAGAGGTTTGGAGCGTGCAGGTCTCCAAAGAAGGAAAGAAATGCAGCAGCTATCTTTAGGTTTGACAGACAAAACAGGGCTCTGTGCATACGCTCCAGTACTTCTACCTACACTTCAGCTCCTTCTTCAAATGCCTTCAGGTTCATGTATAATGTAAAGTACAAGTTTCAGTTCCCTGTTCATGGGAAACCACATTAACAGAGGGGCTCTGAGCCAGCATACTTTTTCTCCAAAAACAATAGTATTTTCTAACTTTAAACATTAGATTAAACAAGCTGCCAGTATTTGCAGGGGAAGGGATCACAACCAAGGAATTACATGACCAGGAAGGAGAGAAAGGCCTCCTAAGGACATGATTTGGCACAGCTGAGAAGTGACTGACAACCTAGTGACAGCAAAGGCTTCAATGCACTGATGGAGCAGGAGCAGCACAGGCAGCCACCACAGCAACCTCTCTCACACTATCCAGGGCCATAAGATAACCTCAGCTGCAGCCAAAAGAATCTGCTCTAGCATTGTCAGTCAAAGTGCTGCTTATGACCCACTCTTACTAAATGGACAATTTAGCAAATGCTCAAAACAGCCATAACTAAGTCACTTTTCCTCTGAGCTAAATTTACAGCAATTGAATTTCGAAATAGGAAGATACAGGGCAAATTTGCCACTTTCCACTGTTGTTATGCTTTGCAAATTTGAGTTGAAAAGATCAAATGGGTGGTGAGGGAGGATGGAAGAAAAATAGTAATTAAAAAATCTATAACACTCTTTTTGTCTCACATGTTAGCTCTTGCAGTTGCCAGAAGAAACAATTTGAAAACAGAAAGGCCCTTAATCCCACAAAGTGAGCAAACAAATCTATACCTGGGTTGAGATACAGCCTTCCTTTATCCACCTACATCATTTGCTTCTCCCCCTAGAGCAGTGCTACTTATCCACGGAAATTAATTCCCTAACAGAATATCAAGTGTTTCTAACTGAAATGCAGTTTTCTGCTCAGATCTCACACCAAATATCTGGCTCTTCCAAAGTTTTCTTGGCTTTAATTGTGTTTAGCTTTCAGGGTAGGGATCTTTGCTCCTCCTTTCACATTAGACTGCAAGTACAAAGAAATAATGGTTGTTCTTAAAACTAATACGGTACAAACAGATTCACCTAACTTTTATTTTCATATAAACTCACATCCTGCTTTTGCATCAGAGGTTAACAGTGAAGTTTCTTAAATCTTAACTAAGTCTCCTCAAATTTATTTCTTTTCTATCCTAAACAATCCTGTACTTGAATAATTAAAGCTCCCTTTAGTACAATTATAAAAAAACTACAGAGAAAAAGGGATAATTTTCTTTTGATTAAAAAGGTGGGGGGAAAAAGAAAAAAAGAAAGAAAGAAAAGAAAGAAAAGAAAGAAAGAAAAGAAAGAAAAGAAAGAAAGAAAA